ACCCAGCTTTCAGCCCTTTGCTGCTAAAAGCTGAAAGCTCCATGTGCAGGTGCAGCTCATCCCAGGCTGTCCATGCAGAACTGCAGCACCCAGAGCTTTATTTCCCCCACAGAAACCAGGCTGAGAGCTCCCTCAGCTCCCCTGTTAGTGTCTGGTGGCTCCCAGGTTTCCTGGGGATTTTTGTTGTGCTCAGGGAGCCTGCAAAATTTCCTACCTGGAACATAAAATGTGCCAGGTTCTTCAAATGCACAAAGGACCAAACTTTTTCATTTTCCTGCAGTGTAGCAGAGCACTGGTGTGTGCAGCATCAGCTTGGACTTGCTCATATGACACAATGGTGCCTCAGAGCAGTTGTGCTGATGAGAAGCACCTCAGCTGCAGCTCCCTGCCAGGGCTCACATGTCTGGGCTAAGCACCATGACTGCCAAGGGAAATGTCAGCAAGGCACAGAATTACCTCAGCCCTGCAATCTCTGCCTGGGAGGACAGAAAGCTCAGGACTTTGATGAGGTTTTGCCTGAAAATGGAAGCACCAGAGTTAGGTGATCTAAGCAGGCTACACTGTTCTTCCTTAGGATCCAAACCAAAACACATCATTCTGTATTGGTAATATTTCAGATAACTTGTCTGCAATCAAATCCAAACTCAGGCTTTCAGGAATGGATTTCATTACTATCTCCTGGACTTTTTCACCCTTCTCTTTAACTCACCCTCCTCTTTAACCCACCTGAAACAGGAGAACATATACAATAGATTTGTGTATCTATCATGTCTGAAAGGAGATCACAGACACTGGGCCAGACCTACCTTGATGCACCAGATATCCACAGTCAGGGTCATGGGCAACTTGCAGTAAAATTTCTTCCACGTCTCTGTTCTTTCCAGGAGGGTTTACCAGAGCAGTTATCTGTTGTTGCAGAGTCTTTGGCAAAGCCATGAGTTGTGTAAACTGACCTTCTGGACTTTTATCAATCTGAATGTTATAAAAATAAGACATTAAAAACATTCAGTCTCTTTTTTTTTTAAAGAAGTTAGAAAATTGACCTCTGATAAATCTCACAGAACCTGATCTATTTCACTAGAAAAGATCCTTAACAATGGTAATAAAAACTTCCCAAGAACAGGGAAATGCAGCATCTCAGTTTTCAACTTGAAGAATGACTCACTGTAAGGGTTTTTATTCAAAGAAGACACACATGATCTTGCTGTGTCTGCAAGTAAATGTTCATTGAAACTCTATCATTTCTGTTGTATCCAATTTCCTTTGGAAACACAAGCACAGGACAATAAGAAAAAGCTCCCCAAAGACCCCTCAGCTGAGTTTCTTCTGCCTGAATATAATCAAACTGCAGACACACACACACTTCAAGTTTAGCTAGAAAACCATTTGCTCTGCTTTAAACTCCAAAGCACATCTGGTTTGTATAATCTGAAGCAAACATTCATCCCACATTTTGCAATCTAAATCAGAAATCCAAGGAGCCTTTTTTGAATACAACGATAGCAACGTGCAGGCCTGGACAGATTTCTCCAAACTGCAACGCACCATGGGGCAGAGCTCTCCAAGAGAGGAGGAAAATCTGAAGAGCTCCATTCCTCCCACACAAGGTTTTAGCCACTTCATGGAGACATCAGACAGGAGCCTGACTGCCCTCTCCACTCCCTTTTGCAAGTGTGGAGAAAATGATCTCCAGATGAGTCAGCCACAACTGCAGAGGCAGCGAGAGGGAGCAGCTCTGAGCTCTGTGTGGGAGGAAGCAGAGCCTGAACCAGAGCTCAGGGCTGGGCTCTGCCTCCTCTGAGCAAGAGATTCTCTCTGTAGCTCTGCCTCCCCTGAGCAAGGGATCCTCTCTGCAGCTCTGCAGCTCCTGAAAAAGGGGATCCATTCTGTTCCTGCACCCCCAGCTGCACTCAGGCACCCCTGAGCAAGGAATTCTCTGTGTAACTCTGCATCTCCTGAGAAAGGGATTCTCTCTGTAACTCTGCATCTCCTGAAAAAGGGGTTCCATTCTGTTCCTGCACCCCCAGCAGCACAAGGGATTCTCTCTGCAGCTCTGCATTTCCTAAGAAAGGGGATCCATTCTGTTCCTGCACCCCCAGCTGCACAAGGGATTCTCTCTGTAACTCTACATCTCCTGAGAAAGGGGTTCCATTCTGTTCCTCAGCACTCAGGCACCCCTGAACAAGGAATTCTCTCTGCATCTCCTGAGAAAGGGGATCCATTCTGTTCCTGCACCCCCAGCTGCACTCAGGCACCCCTGAGCAAGGAATTCTCTCTGCAGCTCTGCATCTCCTGAGAAAGGGATTCCCTCTGTAACTCTGCATCTCCTGAAAAAGGGATTCCCTCTGTAACTCTGCATCTCCTGAAAAAGGGGTTCCATTCTGTTCCTGCACCCCCAGCAGCACTCAGGCACCCCTGAACAAGGGATTCTCTCTGCA